ACTTTGGATTTTAGTGTTTCATGACCAACACAACCAAATTGGACTAATGAACTTGTAAGTGATTGTTTTGTAGTTCAATAGGATGCAAGACGTGACTTGGACGAAGGCGACGTAATAATCCGATGATCAACACCATAAGCAAGACCCTAGGAGCACAAGAGAAGACCCAAGATATAAAGCAAAGTCCAAGCATGAAGATAGGAACCAAGCCGTACGCAAGATCGCGAAGAAACGAACTCACAGAAGTGACCGGACGCTGGAAGAAATGGACCGGACGCTCCGATCAAGAGGCTCGGCAACAGGCACGACCGGACGCTGGCGGCAGATCGACCGGACGTAGGACAGCAGAGTCCGGTCGAGTACAGAGAGGTTATAGAGCAGCGAAACTGCGATCGGACGCATCCGGTGGCAGGTGACCGGACACTGGCAGCGTCCGATCAGTTGATTGCGGCTCCAACGGTCGGAACGACAGGACGCGTCCGGTCAGGACGATTTCAGCGTCCGGTCAGTAGAAGAAAAGCGAGACTTCGTCTCCAACGGCTACTTTCACAGTGGGGCTTATAAATAGACCCCCAACCAGCCATTTGAGGTGGTGGAGCTGAGGAAACATACCAAAGGTGTTGATACACCACTTTAGCGATCTCCACTTGTATAGTGCTTAGTGATTCATCAGGTGATTAGCGTAGGTGGTTTGCGAAGTGCTTAGGTTGATTAGACCACCGCTCAAGCGCTTGCTCTAGATTTAGGCCTAATGTTTAGTGAGGTTTGCATACCTCTTACCACTCGGTGCTTGCGAGCACCATTATTGTACATCGGAGGGGCTTGTAGTCTTGAGAGATCACACCAACCGTATTTGTGGTGTGGCCGCCACCGTGTACGGGAGGGAACAAGGCCCGCGGCGTTTCGGCCGGAAGCTTGATAGTGAAGACGGCGGGGAGCATCCGAGAGAGGCTTGCCGGAAGGCACGTCGGAGACCCACTTGCGCGTGGGGAAGGCTCGAGGCTATCCATGGAGTTACCCGCGACCGGGAGCTTGGCCCTTGCGAGGGATTCCTTGCGAGGGGCTCCAACGAGGACTAGGGGGAAGCTTGCGCGCTTCTCGATACCTCGGTAAAAATACCGGAGTCATCGACGGGAGTTTGCATATCTCTATCTTGCTCTTTAACTTCCGCATTTACATTGATTGTATTACTCTTTTTGTGGTAGAGATAGCAACACACTAGCAAAACCATAGTTGCACATTTAGATAACTTATCTTTTGCATAGGTTTTTGCTAAGGGTAGAAAAAGAGGCCATAATTTAGAAGTAGAATTTTAAGTTGCCTAATTCACCCCCCTCTTAGGCGTCACAGTCCCTTCACAATGCTTGACAAAGTTCGCTGCCTCCAAGCCATCTAGGTGGCGGCAACCTCCAAGAGTAACAAGAATCCCACAACAAATCTGCTTCTTTAGTACCACTAGATGGTAACTCTCAAAACAAATGCAATAGATCTTCTCCAATCTCACGCAAATGTGATTTCAACTAAGTAAATGGGAGTAGAGTATTCTCTTGAGCTCTAATAAGTGTTGATATTAGATGGAGAGTGCCAAGAGAGCCAAATAGCCCGGCCACACCTTCTATTTATAAGCCTTCAACAGAACTAGCTGTTATGCCCTTAATGGGCTTTCTGCGAGACCATCAGAACCTTTCGGTGGGGTCACCAGAGAATATCACTGGAGACCCCAACAACTAGTTCAATGACTACTCCAAACTAGTCGTTATATAGCCTTTTGTCCGGTGAGCCTTCTCTGGTGGCACCAGATTATTCCGGTGAGCACAAACATCCGAAAATGCATGCAAAACGACTCTCTAGAAACAAGCCCCGGTGATCACTCCAATGATTTGCCATTGGAGAATTCTGACGCGTTGCAGAGAGCATACATAAATGTTTTTCGGCCACTAGAACCTTCCAATGCACCCCACTGGTGTTTCTGTTGCCCTATTTTGAAAACTCCCTTGGTGAGGACCAAAAGAATATGTTGTGCTTGAAAACTTCACTGTTGTCGACCTATGAGCCTAAGCTCCACTGCCCCTAATGCTGGGAGCATAGGACTTTTTCGGTGACCTTAGCACAATGAAAACAAACGATTGGACCAATATAGATGGGCCGCCTAAGCTCTGGCGCAATCTCTCCGGTGGCCACGAGGCTTATCTGGTGAGTGTAAAAACACTCGAGTGAGGGCCTGTAGGCAAGATGTCTAATTAGAGGGCGGGGTAAATAGTCGTTTCTAAAACTTAAACGCTACAGCTATCCGATAAAAGCAGCGAAATTAAACAAATGGTCTAGTCATGGCTTCACCCCTCTTTTCTTTGAAAAAGGAAATAGAAACCACAAAATAAGGTCGCCTTCCTCCCCCTGTCCAGAGATCTTTCTGAGCTCGGTCCACTCATGACACAGAGTTGGTCTCGCCGTGGCCAAGGGAGGTGACATGCCCGTTGATGCACTCTTCGCCGCCCGTACGACTGATCCGCTTCATCGTGCGCACAATCGTTGTCTCGACTCTCCGATCCCCCTCTAAGCAGATCGCTGTGCTGAGCTGCCGGTCTCTGTGGTCAAGAACCTGTAACCATTTCTCTCTCGAAAGAAAAAAAGAACCTATCACTATTTAAATGCAAGGGAAAATAACAGAGGAGCAATTCCGAGGCATGCACACCTGTTGTTCAACGCTGTGTGGTAGACACACCAGGTTGCTCCGAACATGGGTAAGTACTGTCGAGCCACTGAGACACTGACAACTGCACGTTCTGCCTCGTTTAGTTGGCCACCGAATCGGCGCCGCCGGATTCGGTGCGCTACTGTAGCTACTGTAGTGTTTTATTTTTATTTGATAATAATTGTCTAATTGTTGACTAATTAGGCTTAAAACGTTTGTCTCGTAAAGTACAACCAAATTATGCAATTAGTTTTTGATTTACGTTAACATTTAGTACTCCATATACACGTATGTGAAATTTGATGTGATTTTAGAATCTTCTTTTTATATAGTACCAAATTCAAGAATTGGGAGACTAAACATGGCCCTATTCAAGAATTTGGAACCTACCAACCGCATATTGCAACTCTGTGGCGGACTCAGATTCAGGCTGCGTTTAGTTCCGGCGAGATTCGACGCCGGCTGAATTCATCGGCATTGTAGCTATACTTTGTAGCGTTTTATTTTTATTTAGTAATAATTGTCCAATCGTTGACTAATTAGGTTCAAAACGTTCATCTCGTAAAAGTACAACCAAACTGTAATTAGTTTTAATTTCGTCAACATTTATTACTCCATACATGTACCACAAGTTTGATGTGACCTGAAATCTTCTTTTTGCATAGTGGTAAAATTGGGAGTATTTTTGAACTAAACAAGGGCTCGGTAACGTTGCTCTTGCAAGTCACGTCGTAACTTTCGGGTATGTATCCGACGTCCAAGCAACATCCGACGGCTAAGAAAAACTTTCCACCTTTTCACGCCGGGTCCCCCACGCTGAGCCGCGGCATCCGCCGCCCGCCGCCCTCACGCACCTCGTGCCCCCATCGCTAAGTCGTGCACCGCGCGCCGCTGCAGCCCTCCGGCACAGCGCGCTGCATTGTTCCAGCCCTCCTGCGCCGCGCCACCAGTCCACCACCGCCATCCTGTGCCTCGCCGCCATTAGCACCTCCGTTGACCAGGAACAGGAGCGCGTCCTGTGTGGGTGCGCGGCGGGCGCCGGCAGAGTGAGCACGACATGGGCGACATGGTGGAGCTTCGGGGATCTAAGGAAGGCGTGGAAGGGAAGCAGCACAAGTGCACAACGGAGGCGGTCTCGACGCGACCACGGCATGCGGCAAGCGCGCGAGGCCGTCGCGAAGGGCTGCACGGCGAGCGGCGGCCGTCGTAGACATGGGATGCGGCGAGCGCGCCCCGCCATCGCGGAGGGGCGGAGCAGCGAACGTGCGCGACCAGCGTGGAGGAGAGGGAGGAGCCTGCCGCCGTGGTGGCTAGAGAGTGGAGATGGCGCACAAACCTCGTACGCCTCGGTCGTCATCCCCTCGCGCAGGAGCTTGCCCATGACAGCGCGGTGGTCGGGCCAGCCAGGCTGGACGGCCCATCGGCGCATGTTGTTCAGGAACGCGATGTAGCACGGGGAGGGACGCAGTGGAGCTTCGAGAATAGGGAACAGCGCCATGTAGCACTCGTGAATCTCATGTGTAGCAAGCTGCTCTTAGTGCTCAAGAAGCAAGCGCGACGCCCTTTGTCACCGACGACAATGAGCTATTACGCGCTTGCGCTTCCGCGGCAGCGGCGCGCGACGCGGCGGTCTGCGGCAGTGTAGGCGCACGGCACGCGGCACGGGAGGGCTGGCGGCGCGCGACGCGGCGGTCTGCGGCAGCGCCGGCGCACGGCACACGGCGCGGGAGGGCTCGGCGGCGCGAGACGCGGAGGTCTGCGGTAGCGACGCACGTCGAGCGACGCGGAGGTCTGCGGCAGCGGCGCACGGCGCGCGACGCGGAGGTCTCCGGCAGCGGCGCACGACGTGACGCGGAGGTCTGCGGCATCGACGCACGGCTCGCGGCGCGAGAGGGCTGGCGGCTGCTTGGCGTGAACGCGTGAAAGGAAGGATGGAGTACTTTTTCCTTGAGCCGTCGGATTGTGGCTGAACGTTGGATACAACCCCGAAAGTTACGACGTGACTTGTCGGAGCAACGTTACTGAATCTGAGTCCCTCTGTGGCCACTCATCAGCAGGCGATTGAAACAGACAGGAAACCATGCTGGATTATACATTCCTCAGACATCCAACAGAGTTGAGAGCTATACAACAGCCAACATAGAACCGTCATCCTCATGTTCACACAGCACTGAAGCAAACAGAATGTAATGTTACACACAAAACATTGTAACAAAAAGTTCATACGCAAGGCAGCTCTCCAGACACATATGGCAGAAAAGAAGGTTTTCTGAAGGCTGGAGCTGGGCTACAGACGAAGAAAGCACGATCACTGTTGCGGCACATCTGACAGTTTGCTTCCATCATCAGCCTTCTCCCCCTTCCATCCTAGTCCAGGATGTGCTGGCGCCTCTTTCTCGCCTTCGAAATCGCGGGCGTCCCGCAGCGAGGCCTCGAAATCGGTAGAATCAATTGCTGTCGGGAGGAGGCTACCAATGTCGTCCTTCGCTCCGAACCCACCAGCTCGTATGACGTCCTCGGTCGAGATGGCAGCTTCCATGTTCACATCAGCTTCATGGCCATTGAACGGACTGGTGTTTCCATCATCTGAATCTGGAAACGGATTCAAGGCCTCTTGAGATTGGCTTGGAACACTGTCTGTCACTGCATCCGGATTCTTTTGTTCAGCTTGCTGTTTATTGCTGAAGTTCTTCCCATCCATGCCTGTGCTGAATTAGTAGATGTGAGATTCCTAGGCAAGAATACACAGGAATAAAATGGTTAGGGCCCCTTTGAAACGCAGAAATTTCACAGGGATCGGTTTTTCACTGGAAAATTGAAGGAAAAAAGAAAATTTCCCACGTACCAAAGGAATGTGAATAAAGGAGCATCCTACCGCTAAGTGACGTTGTGTATACATCATAATTATTATCATTGAATCCAAGGGTGACTTCCACATAAACAAAAGAAACTAGTTCCTGCAAGACCAAAGGGGCATACCCAGTGCAGAGAGCTCCCGCTCCGTGCGGGGTCTGGGGAAGGGTGTCAGTGGCAAGCCTTACCCTCGCCTGTGCAATGCGAGGCAATGAAACTAAAATCCTCTCCAAAACAAGGTCAAAGTACACAGTTTGAGCTAACAGCTGGCTCCCCAAAATTTCCACTGGAGTATGGTTTTCGTCGTAAGGAGACTGTTTTATCTTTTTGACACAAACTGAACAACTTCAAACGGTTTAAGTACAAGAAGAAATTCCTAGCTTATTGTGAATCGAAGTGTGATAATTGTCCACTACTCATTGAGGTGGAACTGAAAACAGCATTGCCCATAAACCTCAACCAGGAAAGCTGAATAGATAAAATCATTTACAGTTTCAGCTTAAGCTTATTCAATACTTCACTAAACCTAAAAAGAGAGAAATTTCCATCCAGATTATTAAGGTTGGCACTCCGTAGCTCTTTAGACAAACTGTGGGCCAGTACCAATCTAACAGTTCAGGCATTCAGCATAAAGCCATTGCAATTGCAACCACAAAGTTCAGTCAATTTGTGGCTCAGTTGGAATCCAGTGCAAAGTTGTTACAGTCGCAACAAGAACAGTGTTAGACACCCAATGCACTCCCCAATCGCCAAGACGCTGTAACAGAACAGATTTGCCACTATCTGTCCAAACAATCCCAACACTGCCCCTCCTAAGCAACAGAGATCGAGAAATCCCCAATCAACACACCTCCATATCTCGATTTCCCAGCAAAGCTACAAATCAACGCGCGCCGGCCGCGTCCAGGAGTCCTGATTTGCGAGAGGAATACTCCGGCGACCAAGCAAGATATCCCGTCCCTAGTCCCCACGAATCACTAGGGCAAGCCACCCGAAGTACGCGAGAACCCAACAGATACCAAAGGCATCATCGCACCTGCCGGGTTGACGAGCAGGCTCAGCCGCGGAGGAGGAAGATTCAGGAACTCGCCGCCTCTTCTCCTCTCTGCTGCGATCTGCGCTTCGGCCGGAGAAGTGTGGAATCGTTTGTTTCTCTTCGGCCATCAGTCTTCACCACACCAGGGTGTTCTACTACTACGGACTGGACCGCCACGTGCCGAGCGAAATGGGTACGTGGCGGGCTCTATGCGACCGCTGAGCCCAATGGGCCAGTAAGCTGGGCCACGGTTCCCTTTCGCTCAAACGTTGTTGAGCCCAATAGACCAGCGAACAGATTCACATCTCCATGATTGCTCAAAACAAAAAAAAACAAAAAAAAAATGCTGCTCCATGAACAGAACACAAAAAATGCAGCAGAACACAAGTCGAAGTGGTCAAGTAGAGACGCATGGCATACTGAAAGAGTACTACTGTATGTCTGTATCTACTGAACAAATGCATCACTAATGGCGACAGTAATGTGCTAAACAGATCCATGGCGGGTAACGCCGTGTACTGACATGCACTGTACACACGGACGGACTAGTGCTACTCCAGAAGCAGAAGCCTACTAGGAAGAACCCGCCGTGAAGTCGACGTGGTAGACCTCGCTCATGTCCGGCTGGAAGATGCCGAAGTGCTGCTCCACGCCCTCGGCCTTGCCGTTCTCGTTGAACATGGCGAACAGGTACGTCTCCACGGCCTTCCCGGGCCGCCGCGGGGTGCCGCCGCCGACGTGCCGCACCACGTTGTTGTTGTACGCCGCCGCGTTCTCCACGGTGGCGCCGTCGCCGCCGCCGCCCGACGGCCACCCGGTCTCCGACACCACCAGCTCCAGCCCCTGCACCCCGGCCTTCTCCACCGCCGCGTGCGTCGCGTCCACGATCGCGTCGAACATGTTGGTGTACACCACCCCGCCGTCCGTCACCGACGACACCGCGCCGCCGGCGTCCGCCGACAGCAGCGCGTACCCGAGCGCCACCTGCCCGCCGCTGCCCGAGTAGGCGAAGTACGGGTACACGTTCACCAGCAGCGGCGCGCCCCTGGACGACAGGTACGACACGATGGGCGCCATCACCGGCGCGGCCGCCTCGGAGAAGGCGCCATGGGACGGCGGGTACGACGTGCCGAGCACGCTCGTGGCCACGGCCGTCGTGACGGGGACGCCCGTGACCCCCGCGGACCGGAGCGCCGACTCCAGGTTCTGCATGGCCGGGAGCACCTGCGCCGCGGTGTCCCCCGGGATGACCTCGTTGCCGGCGTTGATGTACCGGAACTGGACGGCGCCCGCGAAGGGCTGCACGTTGGTGGCCACCCACGACGCGGCGTAGGACGGGACGGACGCCAGGCGCGGGAGGTCCTCGTTCAGCGTGCCCAGGACGACGCCGATGCCGGAGCCGCGGAGCGCGTTCAGCACGGACGTGTCCGGGTGGAACAGGCGCACGTAGTTGATGTTCTTGGCCTTGTACATGGAGATCACCTGCTCCGGCGCCGGCAGGTTGTTGGCGATCATGCCGTAGTTCACGCCAATCGCACCCTCAGCTCCTGCATTTTTAGTTTGATGGGTCAGGATTAGATTGGGTCATCAATCAGAACAAAAATAGAGTGACTTTGATCCTCAACAGAAGTAATCATCAGTTCCCACAAACAAAATTTGCAAACTCAAAACTGTTGCCATTATGAAATGGTGAAGAAAAACGTAGCAGGTAGTAGCTTATTCCAGAGCAGAGCAGTGAAGGGAGTAGTTGGGGGAAGCAGCCAACAAATCTACAGACTACAGGGGACGAACTACAACTACCAAATTTCCAAAGTAATTCCGTGCACAACTCCACGTCTCTTTACGTTTTTCTACATAGGATTTGCAATAAACAAGACCAACACCGTCACTCATAGTACTACTTGTTGTAAAATAAGCAATGGATATACCTTTTAAACTCGGTGCCAAGGCCCAAACAATAGTCAAAGATATGCTTGTGAAAAGAAGAAAATACACCTTGGTGTCAAGGGTCCAAACACATCACTTTCAGTTCAGTTGTTAAAATAAAGCTCAAGTTAATTTACTAGACTGAGCAGCTTAGACGATGGATTCTGCGGCCAAAAGTCTCATATAGTTAGGCTCATAGCATGTCCAAGAGTCCAGCTACTATAAGATGCCCTAATTAGTCTAGATTCATAGTATTACAATGAGAACACATAAGAAAAATTGTTCAATGATGCATGGGCGAAACAGTTTATATACACAAGATGCCCTAATTTTCTTGTGATTTTTTTTGGTTGTCTGATGCATTGGGCAAGCCTATGCAAGGGAAATTCCGAAATAAAAAAGAATTGTGCATATATATGACATAATTCGTATCAGCTGCAGTGTTTCCCTGTCAAATTAAGATGATATCGACATCTGACGGGAGACATAAAGCCCGTCTTAAAAGGGCTCTGCCTTTCTATTTCGTCACGCAAAAGTGTGCTCGGCTGATTACTTCTACTATAAATCGGGTGAGATGTACTAACATCTAATAACCAATGATAAAAATATGTTTTTATTGACATCTTTGGTAGGCCTTGGCCCAACTTTTCACACTCTGTACTGGCCGACGTGACGTTTGAGTGAAAAGGACAGGATTGATCTAGTCTAGTGGCAATAGCAAACTAGGAGCTGATCAGTAATTAGATACAGTAATTTGACTGCATCAAATCAAATGTATCGTGCACCGTAACAAACATGAGTTCATTTCCAATGCCTGTCCTGCTACTAGATGAAGTGGTAAAATATCTTTTGCGTCAAAAATATGAACGAGTAAAAAGATAGAATCCAAGCCAATCCCTGCTCTACGCTGTTTGGTTATTATAATTTCCAGGGAGACCCAACCAAGAACACAAAGGATAAACCTGTTAACCACCTCTACGGCTCTACCAGGAGGCAATAAACTTATCGGAACCACAGCCACTATTTGGCCCTCTTTATCCTAAGGTATCCCCCATTACGGAAAACGTTATCCTAATGCAGGTGCAACTGCAAAACTCAGATCTAAGAAACACCACCAACCTGAGTACCTGACCACCAACCTGAGTACCTGACCATTTGAGAATTGGGATGCAGGACCAGCAAAATTGCAGTGGGAAGAAAGGGAAAGTATCAAGAACAGATCTTGAATAAAGTTTAGCTAGACAACAGGCTACTGAAAGAGCTCGACATGAACTGAAGAAAACAGAAGGAAGAGCGCGGGAGATATAGCATGTATCATTTCCATACATGCATCATATAAACTGGACTAATTAATCAAACGAAACGAAACTGCAGCCCAAGTGTTAATTGGCGGACTAACGCACAGTGCCGCACGGGCAAGAGGAACGCCATGGGCGGGCAGAAGAACGCATAAGTGATAGGTGAACTGCTCACATCACATGAAGAAGACGGAAGAAAAATGAACTGAAGAAAGTGCAGGTGAACTGAACCGTCGGACTGCAAGCACTCACCCTGGAAGGTCGCCAAGGAGAGCAAGAAGCTGCAGGCAATAACCCATGGCGCAGCCATCCTCATCGTCGCCGCGGCAGCGGCAGCCGTCATCCTCGCACCACCACCGCACGCCGTCATCCCTCAGAACAGCGATCAGAAAGCGCAGAGCCCCCCTTCTTCTCTGTTCTCTCCTCTTCTTTCTTGTTGCTTGAAAAAGGCCGAGAATTTCTCTGCTCTGCCTGATGTCTGAACTCTGAACTCTGCCCTGCCGGCTGCCGCGCTCTGCTCTGTTTATATAAGGCAATGACGAGCAGGCAACGGGCAAGAAGCCGAGGAGAACTGCTCTGTTTACGTGCAGGGACTGGGAGTAGAGTAGTAGTGCCGTAGTGGGCCAAGTATCCAACGGGGGCAGCCACCGAACCGCACGACTCGGCGAGACAACTGCAGACACGCGCGCGCGCGGGGTCAAGCGAGCGCTGTGCGGCCTGAGCAGAGCTGCGGTTAGATAAGAAACAGTTCGGATGACCGAATCGACGGCGCGCTCGATGAGGGGGTCCGTTGGTGCTTTGACCGCGTCGTGATGGTGATGGTGATGGCGGTGATTAAAGGCGGGATTAGGATTCATTCACGCGTGATCTGGTTGTATCTGGTGAATCAAAGGGGGAGATATATGGGGAATTTACCTGGCGTTTGATTGACTATCGGCTGAAGATTACTGAGTATTTTTCGGATGAATCTCTGCGTAATAATAATAACATACAATTTCGACGGTCTGTTTCCACGGGTTGCAATGGATATTTGCTGTTCTTTTGCGAGACCACAAGGAAGATACACAAATATCCGATTTGTAAACGGAAATAAATTCAGAACACTATATATGCACTAGTTTGCATAAACGGCATTTCCATTGATAAATAGGTACTCCGTGCATGCACAAAAATGATTTACTCCATCCCTTCTCAAAACAAGTGACTTTTTAGGTCACATGGAGTTTGCCGTTCTAGATTTTAATTGGTACTCAAACATACCAACAATATGTAATATATTTTTGATTACTACTTAGAAGAAAAGTCTAGTTGTATCACTTAGGAAATTAAAACTCAATACATAGGCCATTTTCGCTTGTCTTATGAGCCGCACTATTTCAGCGAGCGAACAATTTTTTTCTCTCACAATAAATCAGCGAACAATACTTTTAGCCATGACTTTTCAGCAAAGCGAACAGAGCCATAGGATCCTTATTTGAACTCAAATTCTAAGGCCTTATTTGAATGGACTAGGACTGGATAATTTATAGGATTTAGACTTTGGTAAGTGAAGCTGCACCACAAAAAAAATATTAAAAGGTGCTTCCTAACAATAATTCCTAGGATTACTATCAAAGGTCCAACAAAAGAAAGAAAAATAAGGGCACTGAGATCTACTTCCTCCATCCACGAATACAGTACGGGGGATACAGATGAATGGCGAGGTACGAGCTCTATTCAAGTGCAGAAATATTTAAATTTACATATAACCCAAATGAAATTTACGTACCAGCCTTCATGTTTAGATCATCGTGGTAGGCAGCTTCATCATGTTGTACATGAAGGATGACAAATTAAAGGAGGGATTAACATTAAACAATTGCACCAAGATCATACTTTATCTATGGAGAAATGAAAGTTATTACCTGCATTCATGTTGAGATCAAAAGGTGCTCGGCCTTCATTCAAGGTTGCATTATGTTCTTGATCTTGGACAACATGGATTTGGCCTTCCCCAAACTCGGAGACAGAGGCATCTTCTCCTTCTTTTGCAGCAGAAGCTTGGTTTAGATCAGGTATTTCAGCTTCTTCACCTTCTTCAATTGGCGCTGAATTCAGATCTAAAGGCGTGGCAAAGGTTAATTCTGTTTACCTCTGTCAAAAAAAAGTTAATTCTGTGCCTTTGCTTGACTTGTTTGTTGATTTCGGTTGCTGGTTACACTAACTGTTTACACAGCAATGGAGGATACTATACTTGGCACCAGTGAGAACAGGCGACAATAAGAATGTTTTAAGCGATTGTGGTGATGGTTTTGATACAATTTTGCATTGGCTCCAAACTGTATATTAGTGTCCCCGAATTATATAATGCTATTCATGGAGGACAAATATGGCAGGAATTTACGCTGGTGGGATTTTTTTTTGTTGGCACTAATCTCCTGCGGTACAATTTTATCAAAAACTGCCATTTAAAGCATGCGTTACTCGATCGATCACCTGATCATAAAATCCAACGACCACAATAGATAACCAGCAGGCTTTAATGAGTATATTTGTGGAGGGAGAAAGTATTATACTATACGGTTTGGCGTGTTTACGTTTTTGAGGATATCGTTTTCATGGATTCCGATCGTTATTGTTGTATTTTTTTATCAACCACTATCATTTCCGAAACTACTGGAATATCGGTGTCATATGTGTTTCAACAATATCATATCGATTTTTCTTCAAAAAACAATATCATATCGATTTCGTTTTCGAGAAAAAAAATGTGAAACTGAAAGTGATTTGGCCCGATCGTATTCATCCCTAAGTAAGCACCTGTAACTATTTTAAGAGGTGTGGCCAAAGGGCCTAGCCCTGCAAGGCTGCAACGTGTACGAGGTGACAATGACATCATCCCACGTAGCCCCCTTAGCCTCGCCTAATTGTCGAAATAGCACATGTACGACTAGGGAGGACTCATTTGGAGTAATAACCAATTAAGGGCTCAGTCAAAAAAAACCCAATTAAGGGCTCGTTAGTTTGGTTCAGTTTCGTTCCTGTCCCTGAACCGTTCTAGGCTCGGATATAGTGGTTCCAGGTGTGTCACTCCAATCGGTTTGGTTCTGGAGGGTAGGGGAAGTCTTCGTTCCGGACCGCGGAAGCAGAAAGAGCATATCTCCATTCTAGCCTTTTTTTTATTTCGAGACACATCTAAGTGTATACATATTTCTAGTCTAATTTGACTTCAAATCAGACCGTATCGATCCAGACGGAACAGGCCGTGTTGTATAGGGGGAGTAAAAAAATCTGGCTCCACTAGCACTCTGAGAAAAGGAGAGAGTAGAGAAAAAAGAGTTTTCATGAATAGTGTATGAACAATAGCTGTGTCAGAGAAGCCGGCGGGAGCTTCACCAAAAGAGGCCAAAGAAACAACACCCTAGACTGCACAAAATACGTTTAAAAAAAGCAGAGCCATATCTTTAGCTAGTGTCTACAACTATCGAGACGAAAATACCTGGATGTATACTGTATACGCATGCAGATTTGTAGATGGAATAAAAGTCTCGTCCGATCCAACACCAAAAGATTAGGTCACCAAATGAAAGATGCTTGTACTGTACTTGAGATGTATATTATGATACCGATTTATGAGCCCACAAAGACCACAAACAAAAACTATGGCGGTTTATTAGCAAGACAAGATGGCCCGGTGGAGCACGAAAACAAAAAGATCAACACGCGGTTATAGGCCTACCGCTACCGCCTACCGCCTACCGGTGTGTGTGTCCCATCTGCATGCATAGTCCATGCATTGTCATGGTCTGGAGATTAGGTGCAGCGTATAATCCATCTACGTACCAACCAACCTGATGCATCATGGTGAACATTTCTTCACGTTAAATTAATCTCTCCCGTGAAAGATTGCCTCACTTGCCATTCTCATCATGCACGCCTATAGCTGCGAGCTACTACAACCCAACAAGCATATATGCCAATGCACGCAAGCAATAATTCAGTTCGCAAGGCATATAAAAAGCTGATGAAACAAGGAACACGGTGCTAGCTTCTCTTCTTGCTCTTGAGGTGAAAAAACAAGAACAGACGTTGCACAACACGTACTACGACCTCAAAAAAGAACATGCTAAACGTACGCTGTGTGTTGAAAGCGACAAAAAGTAAATATAAGTGCAAGCAAATTTAGACCCTGATTTCCGCGCTACAGTGTTGAAGAAGCCCGAGCCAGGTGAACCATAAATCATTCATTTTGCGTTGAGAGAGAAAAATAATTTATATGAATAATGTTGTTACAGTTGTTGTTATAGGAGGAACAGGCAAAAAAAAAGCTATGCTAAAACAGAGACTTAATTTACGTAGGAGCTAGACGGTAAAGAAAAAAAATTCAAAAAAAAAAGTTTCTAGTTCAACTTCGACGATGCACGAGTCCATGGCAAAGTGTGTGTTCTTTGTTTGTATGTATTCTATTACTGGTACTGGTTTATTACAGTGGATAAAAATGGGGTTTAGTGAAAAGGTCACTATCTAATATATTTGTAGTAGATGGTGCATGGGAAAGCGGCGCCGTTTGCAAACTATGGTGAGCTAGCAGCTGGGACACGCTATATCTGCATACTATATCTGCACGCAACGCACCATCACTTATTGGTTGTGTGCACACGTACGTACGTACACGTACTATTACGTCAAAGCTAGTCGGCAGCAGAGATACATGCATTTTTTTTAAGAACAGGAGGGGCAAGGAGCCCCTACTGAAGATTAAATTAAATTAAACTTGTAGTTAGTTACAGAAATACAGTAGCAAGAGAAGAAGGCTATGGAACTAAGAAAGGGAAAAGAAAAGAAACAGAGAAAACACAAAAGGCCTTCAGTTTAGTCTAGATAACTTATCCATTCCAGAATTTTTGGGAAGTATTTTTTCTTTGCCCTGCTGAGCATCAATTCTAGCTCTGATCTAGAGATAGCTTTGCATCCTTGTCCTGAAGAAGGGGTTTGTCTGAATATGAGATTATTTCTACTCATCCAGATTGCCCAACAATGAAGAATTATGATTTCCATGAAGAACTTTTGGTTAATCCGGGCTCTGAAGTATTCTAGATTCTGAACAGAAGTAAAACTGTGATTAGTTTGAAGACCAATTTGATTCCAGGCATGTGCTGCAAAAGGACGATCGATGAAAAGATGCTCAATGGTTTCTTCAGCTTGTGCATTACAGAGGACACAGTTAAAACTCTCTAATTCCATATTTCTTCTTCTCAACATACTCCTGGTGTTCAGCCTGTTTTTAACAATGAGCCAGAAAAACACCTTATGTTTATTTTGGCATGAGCTTTTCCA